TGCCAAAATGAGTCCCACCTGAGCTGCGGACCTGTAGTGTCTCATTTGGAACCCTCTAGGTCACTCCGAGAGACTTCATGAATGTAGTATGCACATTGCTGCCCATCACAGATTACGTACTTGAACGCTTCTCTCTACCAAGCTATCAAAAATCCTTTCTTTCCATCCAGAACTAACACCCCTGCCCCCCCCCTCAACATTAACGGTTCCTATCAGCCAAGATTCATGCTCAACAGGAGACAAAAATCAAACTTGTCACAGTGTATTATGATGATCATACTTTTAACCTCTTATTTAACATTTAAATCACGAAATCTTGAATCAGCTAAAAAGCTAATTATGTGAGCATAACTTTTGCTTTCATTTGGTGGACAAACATACATTTATGTTATCATCTGTGTTTAGATTTTATTCATTTGGGTGGTCACTAGCCTTACTACACATATAGTTTGTGCTTATATTGCATTCTCTGCATGTAACATAGGCCTGTGAGATAAAGCTGAATAATTTCCTCTAGAGAAACAAGTTTTCCTTAAATGCTGTGGAAAGGAAGCATTCACTCTATCCTATTTCTGCCAGCCACTTAAAGGAAAACAAGAAAATACTCCAACTACTTTTTGCTTTGTTTCTTTCCAAAATTAAAATGTAGATAGCTGCTTTTTTTTTGGCCAAAGATTTGTGTCATCCCCGCCCCCTGTAAGAACAGTACAAAACAGCACCCTGAGGACAGCAGCATAGTGAGGATGCTACTGGGATATAAACAAAGTAAGAGGACAAAACGCGGTACCCTTCCCACCTGCCAGAATCCTAATTTCCCCTACTGGCTACTGTAACAAGTAACAACAGCGCATTGTTTTGAAGTAAAAGTTGAATTTTTTTTTTAAGGTACGATTTTAATGCCCAAATTCTGGTCTCTCTTAGAATGGAAGACTGTATTTCCCTGGGAAGGGGAAAGAAGAGTGCCCGTGCTTTAAGAAAGACACTTTGTCTGTGTAAGAACATGATTACCATCATACTGACCCAAGCGAAGCTGGCATCCAGTCCAGTCTCCTCTCTCCAACAGTCACCTGTGGTGGATACCTAAAGAATCATTAAAAGAACAAGGCAGACACACAGTGATAGTTTCCTGTGGATGTGATGTGCAGAACTAGGGTTGTATGAAGAAGTGGCATCTTTTATTAGACCAAGACATATAGGTGGAAAAATTAGACAAACTTTTGGCCATACAAACTTTTCTTCAGGTTAGAAACACCAGCTGCAGCTCTCAGTTAAGAACAATTGCTTAGCATTTACTAAGCTATTTATTAAGTAAGCCAGCTCTGAAAGGAAGAAGATGCTAGCTGTAGAAAAGAGAGGACGTTAATAATGTTAACAATGCAGAGGATGTTAAGGATGGGAGAAAGAGTGGCATTTATTAGCTAAGCAAAAAGGAGAGATAATTACCTTACAGTCTGTTGATTTGGAGAGAGGTAAGCGGGAGGAGGGGGAGGTGGAAGCAGAAGGAAATTATAATCTACTATCAGACCAGCATCTCTACTGAGACCCTGGTTTTGGGTGTTGGGCAGAGTTAGGAAACCTAGTTCCCATGCTTACTTCTGTGGGACAAGTTCTGTAGTTTCCCTTAAGGATCAGGACTCAAAGATCAGAGGGAGAATGTAGTGTTTTGTGAGAAACTCTCCCTCACCAACAGCACAGTGTTTTGGTCTATAAAGACCGTCTCTGGGAGTTCATGCTGGTGCCGAGTGGTCGTTTTCAGTAGCAAAACCACCAGGAAGGCAGCCATGCACAGGATGAAGTATGTTACAGTCCTGGAACTGCAAATGTAAGATCGGAGGATGCTGATGGTTTGATGGCAGGAGGTGTTCATTGTTGTAGCAGCGGATGGGCATCAACACATCGTACATTTCTTGCTCAGGCACGGTTTAAACTGATCTGGTGTTTTGGACCACAGAGAATTACTTCTAATGATGAGTTTTGTGGTTTGGGGTGCTTGAAATGTAGGACAAGTGCTTCTGGGAAGATTCTTTCCACATAGGATTTTCTTCTGTTATGTGAAAAATCATTAAACAGTTAAAACCAGCAAGTCCTAGGAACTTTCCTGAACTTACCAGCAATCAGCCCTCATTCTTCCCCTCACAATACCCCCTCCATTCCCGTTTCCACTTTTTCTTTCTGAGCTGGTCTCACTGATGCATCCCTATCTAAGCTCTAAGCAGTTGTTCTCAAGTTGCATCTAGCTTTGGTAGTTACTGCTTCAGAACCAAAAAAAAAAGCTTGTTAACCCAGAAATTTGTCTACTTTTCCTTCTATACCAGTTGATCTGAAGAAAGTTATTACCTACATGTACAAACCTTGTCATGTACACACTGATCTTTCTCCTAGAACAATCTTCTGGCTTGTTGCACACAGCAACTTAGAACAGTGACTTTTCAGTGTTTTCCAGATTGAGAAGTGAGTATTTCCTAAATATTTCAAATGCAGGCCCCGTAGATAGAATTTAAGCCAACTGACAATGGACTTAGGCATCTTAACTACCTTCCCTGGATTGTGTGATACGTCCCCAGGTCTGAAGACCACAGGCAGAAAGCCACAGAGGCTTCCTGAGACTAGTTAGGAATTCCCACTCATTTTCTGTGAGAAACAGCATGTATAATACTTGTTCCTATCTAAAGATCCAATGTTCAGTTGTTTTAGGATGAATATGAAAACAATACTGTCATTTAGGGCTGAATATAAATTAGGTTTTGTGCTAGAAAGGAGTTAGTAATTTTAATTACTGATGTAGATCTGACAAGGAAAATCTGTAGCTTAAAACTGTAAATATGATATGCACGGAATCAAACTTTTTTCAGCAGAAGATGGAAAAAGATATCATTTGTGCATATCATTTTTGAACTACCGTCCTCTGAGAAGAGAGTTCTTGACAGAACTCAATGAACCTCAGTACACAAGGACATCAGGAATCGACATATTTAAGGTCGTGCAATTTCTAAACATGATCCCGCTCCTGCAGTCGTTACACAGCATAGATGTTGCTATTAATTAGTTTGAATGTGGGACAGCACTGCTGGGAGAAAGAAAGTGTCCTAAATAGCATGGTCCAAATTTTATCTGTAGCTATCCAAGAAATACGGATGTCTTTTATTAACCCTTGCCACCTGTGACAGCTAGAAATAAATGCTGGGCTTGTCTTATTCCTAATGGATTTTTGCAGCTCATTAGCGTATAAAGTGGGAAGGGTGGGAGCATGCTGCAGAGAAGGAAGACAGCTGGCTGGAGAAGTTTCATGCCTGGTTCAGCTCTGAATGGCAGCATTAACCGTTGGACAAATATGAGGACATTCACGTCCACGACACAGAGGCTTGGTTACTGAATGTTTGGAGAACGTGGTAGGATTCTCCTCCTCTCCAGGAGCACGGTTTATTATTCTTATTGAATTCCAGCGAGTACAGTAAATCCCCCATTCAGCCTCCATCATTTTTCCAGACTATGTATTTCAGAAGAGCCAACAGGACCTCCATTCTGCACGAGCGACGGGGTTTTAGATAGGCAGAAAGAAATGGCCACTGTTGGCGGTCACTGTATGCCCATTCACCCCCTCCCCAGAATATAGTGAACATAAAAAACCTGACGGGACGCGTTTGCAAGTCATGCAGCATTCATCTTGAATTAAGCTGGAATAGCTGCCCACTGGGCAGAGGAAGGAAGGGGAGCGGGAAAGCCCTGTTGTGATTATTTTCACATCTCAGGCTGCTGCTGTAGACATGATAGGAGGAGGATGCGCGTAAAATACTGGCGATAACTCGGTAGCGAGATACTTAAAGCGTCTCTGGAGGGAGGCGAGTGTTGGCCACTCGCACATCACCGGTTGCGCGTGAGACGCCAATACCGCGGTCTCTGCCGTCAAACCGCCGCCGCTCCTGCCTGCGCCCGAAGTTATCACAGCAACCCTATCTTCTAGATTTCAGTCCTGCAAAGATGCTCCCCGATTGTTCACTGCTCCCTGCAGCGGACCCCGGACAACAGCACTGGCCTCTC